TGTGTTTAGAGAGAGAGAGAGAGAGAGAGAGAGAGAGAGAGAGACACAGACAGACAGACAGACAGACAGACGGACAGACAGAGAAAGGAGGGGATGACCGAGGAGGGAGATATGGGGCGAGAGAGAAAGAAGAGAGAAAGGAGCAGAAGGGGGAAATTAATCAACAAGCATACAGGCACGCAAGCAGACAGACAGACAGACACACACACACACACACACACACACACACACACACACACACACACACACACACACACACACAGACAGCCAGACAGCCAGCCAGCCAGCCACCCAGACAGACAGACAGATGGGCATATAAATAGATAAATAGAGATAGGCGACGTGTGCCACGTATTAACCGCGATGAGATGGCAGGAACGATGAGTCGATCGCTGATTCAATGCATGACTCACAGAATGTTTTTGTTCTCCACTTAACTGAGAAGTCAATGTTTTTGTTCTCCACTTAACTGAGAAGTCAAGTCCGCGACTTTTTTTTTGTTCTCTTCAACTTCAAAAATACGGTGACCCGGATCTTGATCTCGCACCCATGTCTACTTATTCTTTCACCTACCCAATAAGTAAAATGAACGAGCCTTACATCTAGACTTGGGTGGTTGGCGGGTCCTCTGATGTGGTTTACTTTTGCTTTTGAGTTTTTAAGTTTTGAGTGTGAGTAAAGAGAAGCCCATGGCCACAGTAACAGTCATATCGGGCAGGGAAGAAGCGAGACAGACAGACAAACAGAAACATCAGAGGGAAAGAAAAGAAGCAGGACCTACCAGTGCCGCCCTCCAACCACTCCCGCTGCTTATTTTGTATCAAACATCTATTGCCTATATCTTCCCCTTCTCTCCCCCTCTCCTCTCTTCCTCGCGCCCGCTCCCCCCCCCCCCCCTCACGCCCTCTCTCTCTCTTTCTCCCTCTCTCATACAGTGTGCTCGTGCGCTTGTGTGGGTATCATTCATCTTTCGCCTGTTTCACTTGTAAACGGCGTAACACTGTGTATAATCAACAATGAAAAATAAAGTGTATCTCATTTCCACAGTGCTGCATCAAAAGTACAATTCTGACGCCTCCAGCACTTACAAAAAGAACGGAACAAGCTTCGCCATCCGGTACGGTACCGGTAGTTTAACCGGATACCTCAGTACCGACACTGTCACTGTGAGTACATCAGTGTTTACTAGTGAGTTAACCAGATACCTCAAAACCAATGCTGTCACTGTCACGGTACGTGTATACCAGTAGTTAAACCGGATACCTGAGTGTCGACACTTGTCTTTGTGAGTACATCTGTGTTTGGGATACCGTTAGTTAACCGGATACCTCACTACCGATACTGTCACTATAAGTATTGGTACACCGTGCCTGTGTTGCTGTGGTTAGGCGCGTCAACGTCGCACACGGAAGGCGTGAGTTCGACTCTCATGTAAGAAAGTTTTAAAATTTTTAAAACTTGTGTAACTCTGTCCGCTTGCTGGGACGTTGTATCCCTCTTCTGTCCGGGTTGGCAGGATTGATGCAGCCAGCCTCCTAAATGTTCGATATTGTGTAGACTGCGTAAAACATTTACAGTCATCGTGAGTATCTGTGTTACCACGACTTCAACCACAAGAACCGCAACAACAACCACAATAGTAACGCAGTATCTATAACTACAACCCCACCACCGCCGCTCTCTCCATCATAGCCATCACCACCACGACAACGCCTACAACAACGGCAACAACAACGACAACAACAACGACAACAACAACGGCAACAACAACAACGACAACAACAACATCACCACCACAACAACTACAACCATCACCACTCATGACACTACCACAACTCCACAGCAACCACCATAACAACAACCACCTCCTCCACCACCACTACCATCAACAACAACAACAACAACAACAACCTTTAACCAAAACCACTAACAACAAAACAACAACAACAGCAACAGCAACAGCAACAACAACAACAACAACAACAACAACAACAACAACAACAACAACAACCTTTAACCAAAACCACTAACAACAAAACAACAACAACAGCAACAGCAACAATAACAACAACAACAACAACAACAACAACAACAACAACAACAACAACAACAACAACAACACTTAGGGGTGGTTGGCGGGTGCTCTGGTGTGGTTTGCTTCTTCTTTCCTATCAAACATCTATCGTCCTTATCTGCCCTTCTTCTTTTTTATGTTTATCTGCCCTTCTTCTATTTTAAGTTTGTTACTCTCGTGTAGCACCACTAATCTGTGGGTGGTTGGCGGGTGCTCTAATGTGGCTTGCTTCTTCTTTCCTATCAGACATATATCGTCCTTATCTCTCCTCCTTTTTTATGTTTGTTACTCTCTTGTAACACCTCTAATCTTCTGGCACTCATATGACATTATGCAGTTGCGAGCGCTGTAAAACCTCTACTAAAACAAACAAACAAACACCTCTAATCTTCTGCAACTCATATGACCTTATGCATTTGCAAGCGTCGTAAAACCTCTTCTAAAACAAACAATAACACTTAACCCAAACAACCACCGACAACCACACTCTCTCCTCCACAAGGTGGCTGGCCTGGCTGTGAAGGACCAGACATTCGCCGAGGCCATCACCCAGCCTGGCGTGACCTTCATCGCCGCCAAGTTTGACGGCATCCTAGGCATGGGCTACTCAGAGATCTCCGAGGACGGCGTGGTGCCGGTCTTCTACAACATGGTGTCCCAGAAACTGGTGGCACAGCCCGTCTTCTCCTTCTTCCTTGACAGGTGTGTGTGTGTGTGTGTGTGTGTGTGTGTGTGTGTGTGTGTGTGTGTGTGCGTGCGTGCGTGCGTGCGTGCGTGCGTGCGTGCGTGCGTGCGTGCGTGCGTGCGTGCGTGAGTGTGTGCGTGAGTGTGAGTGTGAGTGTGTGAAGATGTGCGTGCGTGCGTGCGCGCGTACCTGCGTGCGAGCGAGCGTACGAGCGTGCGCGCGGGCGTGCGCGCCCGAGTGAGAGAGCGGTTGTGTCAGGCTTCAGCAGCATGGCGCACGAGACATCGGCACTATAAACAATTAACATGTCTCTGTGT